CCATAGGGTTGTGGGAAGCTGTAGTGGAACTTGTAGCTACTGCTGTTGGCTTTTGGCGAGACGGCGGTGGGCGGGGGAACCTGTAGAGGCGCTAACTGGGTGATAGTTGTTGTGGTGGAGAGGATGTTGGAGGAGGGTGGAGGCGGGGGAAGAGGTGGAGGTGGTGGTGGGGGGTCGAGGCTGTGCGGAGGGGACATGCAGCGTCCTGGGGTTGAGGGGAAGCCGTGCTGAGGGGAGAGGGTGGAGGGGGACGAGCATTCCACTCCTACAGCCCCCGCCACGCCAACGCTGCAGCCACTGGGGGGGGAAGAACACACGTCACCATACGCCTCCTCTACCACCTCGCCCTTCACCTGACTCACCTGACCCACCTGGACTTCAAGCTTAATATTATTACGTCTTGTTATCATTAAAACACCTTATTACAAAAGGGGTCCAAGGAATTTACAGTACTGCGGCAAACGTTCCACGTGAAACAAACTTCACAACAGCGTTGTGGTCAAGGCGCACATGCACAGCTCAAGGCATTTACTGAGAAAAACCTCTCGCCATGACTGGCTTCTTTAGTCTTGAAGAAGCCACTTGGGGCGAAACGTTTCCTCAATAAATGTCTTGCACTGTGCATGTGTGACTTTCTACATACTGTTGGTACCACCATACCTCGTCTCCAGTCCTGTGATGGTTGAATGGAGAAACTTTATGGCACAAAAGTATTCTTAAAACGTTTTGCTGAATAATTTTCTTTGAAGATATGATATATTTTGGAATTCATCAAGTCGTTTCAGTGCACAAGTAAGACATAACGTATCCAACAACAATAAATACGTCGTGAATTCACGATGTATCAGGCAATTCTGCTCTTCATTTTCATCAACTGTCAGGCAAAGCAATTCTTTTTCTCCGGAAATTTTGGTTACAATTATTTACGAATTACTACATCGTTCAAACGTTACTTTTCTTCCTTCAGAAAACCTGTTGCATTGCTATCACATAAGGGATGTGAAGGTGCAGGTGGGAGAGGTGAGGCAGGTGAGGGCTGAGACTAAGAAGGAGGTCTAATGTCCTCTCTGCAAACACCCAGTTCATCTAGAGCACAGGAAATATGAGGAAAAATTATTGTATTTAGCATCAGTTTTCAAGCTAAGTTTACCACTGCCTGGCTTAGTGCCTAAATTTAAAACCTCTAATTTTGGGGAGTCTTAATTCAAACCGATTTTTTTAAATCACGATAATTCAAATAAAGATAAAAATTACTATATTACATACGAAATAGAAGTATATTATAGAAGGTGGTAACGTGCATTTGTGAGACACAGCACAGGCAGTAGTAGCAACAATCACTAGACTGCCACTCCCGGCATGAACACAACCAGATATATATGGGAGTGTACCCTTGCATGACTATTTTCTCTGAGTGGTTATAACGAAACACAGAGAACTGATGATGGAAAGTTCCGTGCTAACATGCATCATGCAGGTGCCTTGGGGAAGGGACAGAGAAAAGAAGGAGAGAAAGAGAGAGAGAGAAAGAGAGGGAGAAAAAGAACGAGAGAGAGAGAGAGAGGGAGAAATATATATCAATAACTGAATAAGGAATAAAAAAGTACAAATGTGACATGTGACATTTCCCAGATATATATCTGGGTCACCGTCATGCCTGTCTAGGAGTCAAAATTTAAAGCCTTTCGGAAACAACTCTTTGAGATTATCTGACTGAAGAGGATTATCATGAATATTATTGGAGACGATTATTACAAACATCACTCCTATTGTTAGTAAAATACCAATTATTAATGATATTGTTAAGAGGTTGAGCACTCAATGAAAGGCATTACAGTAAACGTTTCGGATCAGCCTAAGACTAACCCTGACAGCATCTCACAGTATATGACAGAGTTACTCAGTAGATCAGCCAAGTGAAAAAAATCAACACAAAATACTTGCCCACTCTCGGAATCGTGGTTGTAGAAACCTTGAAGCTCCATCGGCATCTGTGGAACAAGCAACTCGTTAGCAATTTATTAACGACTTACGTCGTCCACACGTCGTACCTCCAACAACAGTGAGGAAAACACACTCTGAAGAACATGCTTTTGTTGCGCTTCATATTTGCTCTGCAATATGAGTCTTCTACGCAATGATTTGCTTAAAATAAAATCAATTTTACCGCCTTGGTCGCCATTAATTTATGATGAAAACCCATCACAATATTTAAAAAATACGTCTCAATTCAGATATAATGGCTGACAAATTAATGGTTATTTACTGACATATGACGTACGTACTTTATTAATACGAAAATATTTTACTTTACTAAATTTCACAACAGGTAAAAGAGTAATTGAAATAAGGAGAAAAGGAGAGTAATTAAATAAGGAGCACAAGAAAATTAAAATAAGGAGCAAAAAAGTAATTAAACTAAGGAATACGAGTAATTAAAATGAGGAAATAAAAGATTAATTAAATAAGGAGCATAAGAGTAATTAAAATAAGGAGTACAAGAGTATAGTAGATAAATGGTTCAGAGAACCGACAAGTTGATAAATTAGACACATGAGCAATACTTGGGTATCTTTATTGAAGAAACGTTTCGCCACACAGTGGCTTCATCAGTCCAGTACAGAGAAAAAATGGTGAAGATCAGAAGGAATTCGAGGTAATCAGGCTGAGGGATTGATTATCTCAAACTCCTTCACCATTCTTCTCTATATTGGACTGAGGAAGCCACTGTGAGGCGAAACGACTCCACAATCAATATACCCAAATGACACACTTCTTTTTTGAACACAAGAGTAACTAAAATAAAAAAACACAAGAATAATTAAAATAAGGAGCACAATAATTAGTAAAATAAGGAGCACAATAGAAATTAAAATAAGGAGCACAATAGTAATTAAAATAGGGAGGACAAGAGTAATTACAATAAGAAGCACAAGAGTAATCATAAATGAGGAGAGGAAAAAAAGATTCACAACAGCAATAAGAAGACAGCAGTAAGTAAGCTACGAAAGAGAAGAGGAATTCCAGGAGGAGGAGGAGGAGGAGGAGGAGGAGGAGGAAGAAGAAGAGGTGACTCACCTTGTCCAGGTCCTCAGCTGGAGTAAAGAGTACTGGAGGTTTGGTTAGATCAAGCATGGAGTAGAACTCAGAGCGGTCGCAAGGCGGGTGGTAGAGGTCCTCATATTTCTTTCTGGTAGTGGCTGCCATTCTCCTCTTGGCTGCACGTCTTTCCTCGTCCCTCGTCTTCCTTTCCGCCCCCTAGGGTAGGTGAAACACCAGGGTGAGGCTTAGGTGGTATACCAGGGTGAGACTTAGGTGGAATACCAGGGTGAGACTTAGGTGGTATACCAGGGTGAGACTTAGGTGGTATACCAGGGTGAGACTTAGGTGGTATACCAGGGTGAGACTTAGGTGGTACCGTGAGTTTGAGGGATAAGTGTGATTGGTTGTATACCATGGTGAGATTGGTGGATATACCAGGGTGGATTTAGGTGGTTACCATATATTAGTGAATACCAGATGGTTAGTGCCATGTGAAGATTATGGTAGTACAATAATTATTAGTAGCTTAGTAGAAATACCAGTAGTTAGTAGTAACAGGTAATTAGGTGAATACTAGTTGAGACTTTGTGTAATACCGAGGAAGAGCTTTGATGGTATCCAAAGCAGTATACACAAACAAATACCCATGAGACTTAGGGTGGTTATTTAATGAACTTTGGAATACAATCCTAGAGAAATATTTCCGGTAACATTTGATTTTCATCAAGTGACTTGTGGGACAGGGGGAGACTTGGCTTACAGGTGAGCTTGTGGTTCGTAGGTCAGACTGCGTAAGAGAGACTGCTGATTGGGTGTTTGAGTTGTTTCTTTGGAAATTTATGTCTAGCATTACAAATTATTTAAAGAATCAATGTTGCCCCGCGGCCTGGTGTACAGGTAAGGTATATTTATTACTTGCATTAATAGCAATGGTCGTATGGGGTTAGTAACTAATAAGTATTATTAGTTCACACTACCCTAACACAAATACAGGTTCCAATAAACATACACACACATACACACACACACCACACAAAGGGGTGGTTCATTAACAACTTCACATACAAATGCCTTACAGAATCATTTCTGGATACATAATTTTCATGCAGTGTCTTGTGTAAGTAGTCTCTGCTTACTGGGAGTCTTGTGGTCGTAGAGATCACAAGACTCCCAGTAAGCAGAGACTGCTTTCTGGGACTGCTTTCTTTCTTTTGGAAATAAAGTCTAGCATAAACTGTATACCTGGAGATGATTTCGGGGGTCCACGCCCCCGCGGCCCGGTCTGTGACCAGGCCTCAAGGTTCAGTGACTTTATTAACTTTGATTCTGTTAGCAAGGTTCGTCACCCTGGTGTTCAGTAAGTAAGTAAGTTTATTCAGGTATACACAAATACAGTTACATATAATTATCATACATAGCAGCATATGTGTAGAGAACCTGGGATAACCCAAAAAAGTCAGACAGAGTGACTTATTCCACAACACACACACACACACACACACACACACGCACACACACACACATACACACACACACACACACACGCACACACACACACACACACACACACACACACCACACACACACACACACACACACACACACACACACACACATAGTTTATACATTTGTCTTATGTGAGCTTTGTGAAGTTGTCTGGAGTGGACTTAGTCTCTGGATGAGGTCTGCTTCTGCTGAATAATAAGTGAACTTTGTATTTATTCAGCTCTGTAGATCTGAACTCTGCTAGAAGTGAATGACCTTTGCCGGACTGCCTTGCCGGTGTATACACACTGTATTGTGTGGACTTGTTTTAGACTAGATAGTATCTGCACACTTACACTGTGTGGACGTGAGGTCTTGTGCTAGTGGGTTGTACACCTTGATACATGTGCTAGTCTTAAAACTCATTATTTGCGGGTTGAGTAACAAACATTTAGCATATGAGCTAATGTGACAATTATTTCTCAAACGGATTATGCGTATATTTGTACAAGATGTCATTATTCAGCAAAGACAAGTGTATACTACTACTTCTGGTTTTATCAAATATCTAGACTAGTGAAATGACATGTTGCTTACTGAGATGTGTACCTACGATAAGACAAGCTTTGGAAGCAAGGCATTGAGAGTTAGAGTGATTATAGTAGTTACGTGATTAAAAGCAGAGGTGACTACAGCAGTTAAAGATGATCGTGATGACGTGGGGTATGGTGAACAGGACGGAAGAACACGTTAAGGGGCACGTCATTCCCCTCTCTTCTAATAAGTTATACACTTAACAAATCATTGTAGAGGTCTGAGCTTTGCTCAGACTTCTACAACAATAATAAAACACAAAACTAATTAACTAATTATATTTTGTTCATAACCTGAAAACGCCCTAACGAATAGGCTTAAGATTTTCAGCAGTTGTGTACAGTAAGGTGGACCAGTTTCTTGGAACAACTGGAATGTTCACGTGCCCCATGGCCAAAGCTGCTGGACCCATTCCCACCATCTTGGAATGGCTGGGATAACTTCCAAAATTCTCAGAACAGGTGTCTAAAAGTTCAACGTCGGCGGAGAGTGAAATTCAGATGTGTAAGAGCATATCTGACCATTATGTGTGTAAAATAGTGTGAAAAGTTTATTCCCGTTTAATCACTTTCAGTTTACCACTTCTGAATGTCTTCTATATTTAATGTGTGAGCGTCTTAGGGCCAGAACAGTGTCTATTATGTGTCGTGTGGGCACATATATTCTTGATTCTGTGTAATAACTGGGAAATGAATCTTCTGGTCGGCTTTAAACTTTCAGTGTTGATGAGTTGTCCTCAAAGGACACAATCTCTTGATGTTAGTTTGTGCAAGTTATTATGTGACAATTTTATTAATTAAATTGTTTTCCATGAAATAATTGGTGAATGTTTCTTCTGGTCAGAAATAAGTCACAATATTGGACAATATTTGAATATCCTGGGATAAATTATCGTACTGTTCCTTTATGTGTCTATAACATCTGTGTCCTCAAGTCCATTGTTACAAACTTGAACGTTGTGTTACACACGGTTTACATAAGACTTACTACTGAACTTACTTAAAAGTTGGTCCGTTATACTTAGAGAAAAGTTTGGAGTGATTTTGGCATGTGTACGTACCAACCTGCCATTTTTTTTTTTTTTGAAAGAAAACTGGAAAAAATGAAATGTTTCTTTTCAAGCGATAATTTCTGAGTGTCGCATCTGATTAGCTTCAAGCTTTCCATGTTGAGAAATTGATAGTGTAATATCGGAACAACTTCAAGCTTAATGTGCTTGTGTATTTTAGTATGTTGGTCTCTTTGGTCCCTCTGAAAGATTTGAATTAGATTTGGTCTGTGTATGTCTTAATTTACCATTTTTATTGACGAAGTTTGTATCTTAGTTTCCATATAATGACTTGTGAATGACTCTTCTGATTCACTTCAGATATTCAAAAGGTAATATTTCCCAGCAATATATGCCGCACTCTGCACTATTCCAATCGCGTGCACAGAAGACTAGGGTTATGAAATACGGGGATACCTTTATGAAATCACGCCGTGAACGAAATACATCTAGTTAGACCATAATACACAAATAACCAGCACACAGGAGAGAGAAGCTGATGACGACGTTTCGGTCCGACTTGTACAACTGACTAGTCACGGTGTTGTGCCTTTTAATTCTTTCGTTAAAACACAGGTAAAACAATTATAAGAGAACAATTAAGTAGCGTGACAATATATCTTGGTGGAGGGAAGCTGAAGACTCACGGTAGTGAGTCACACAGGTTTATGCCCTCACACACCACTGTGGTAACACCTGTAAGAGACAAGTGGAACTGACCTTGTCACAGAAGACCTTGATCTGACAGTATCCTCTGTGTACCAGTGTCGCTGAGTCGCGTGGATCCTCGTATGTGTCCACCTGGATGTGTAGAGGCAACCCCTGGAAAGAAGAACAATACATAAGAACATGTTGTTCTGTAAGTGGATCAGAAGACCGACAAGTTGAACATTGTACATGAATGATACATAATACCAGCGTGATGAAAATTAGACACATGTGCAACATCTGGGTATCTTTATTGTTGATGTTTCGCCATTAAGTGGTTTTATCAATACAGATTCTAGGACATAATTGGAAGACAGTAGAACTATATACAGAAGGTGAGGTAATCAGTCCCTCAGCCTTGAAGAGCACCGTAGTCATCAAGACTACGGTGCTCTTCACCAGCTCCAAGACTGAGGGACTGATTACCTCACCTTTTGTATATAGTTCTACTGTCTTCCAATTATGTCCTAGAATCTGTATTGATAAAACCACTTAATGGCGAAACATCAACAATAAAGATACCCAGATGTTGCACATGTGTCTAATTTTCAAGTTGAAAAATTGGGCCGCTTTTGCATCGTTTAGGGCTCAATAAAAATTTCCAAACGTTGCACTAGTTTCTCACTCTAGTGCAATGTTTGGGTACTGGTGGAGATAGAACCCACGGCGAGTGAGTGGTAAAACTCCAGGCCAGTGCGTAAGCCACTGGGCCAGCTGACTACAATAAGATTTATCCAACGTGGTATATTTATACATCATAGGGAGGTTAGCATGGGCCACCACTGTGACCATAAATGCAAGTTATCAAATGAATCTCCCACCATCGTGGCTGTGGCGAACTTTAGCTCAGGTCCCCTCAAAGCCTCCATCGTGATTTCCTGAGTCATTACTACTGCTACTACTACTACTGCTATTGCAACTACTACCTTCTTTTCCCTTCCTCTTCCCGACCTGTTTTCTGACCTCTGCAATTTCTCGCTCAGTCGTGACTTGACAATGGTCAGGGACGGACTAAAACGTCGCCACAATCTTCCACTTGCTTAAATGTGAGTTATTTGTGGCTGAAACATACAAGCACAGGAGCATTGCACGTAGGCCTACTGGCCCATGCTAGGCAGGTCTTACTCGCATGCCGGGCAGGACCATCCACTGGTTAATGAAGGTGGAACATGAATCCAGGTGAAGAACACACGTTGAAAAGCGCACTCATGATGAATAAGACACGTGTGCAACGTGTTACACACGTGTCTTATGCATCAAGTGTTATTCACGTGCCTTATTCATAAGGCGTTATACACGTGTCTTATTCATCAAGTGTTATTCACGTGTCTCATTCATCAGGTGCTACACACGTGTCTTATTTATCATGATACCAGAGCGTCTGGCTCTGGGAAGAGCTTGACGGAGCTGTGACTGGATAAAGCTCTACGCAATGAAATAAAGGTTGTGTTACAACGTTTTTCTTCCCAGCATCATGGGAAGGATGGTGTCCCGTGGCCTGGTTGGCACGCTCTCTCTCTCGCCACACACACTGAGTGTCCATGGTTCAATCACCGGCCGGGTGGAAACATTGGGTTTGTTTCCTTACACCTGCTGTACCTGTTCACCAAGCAAGTAGGTACCTGGGTGATAGTCAAGTGGTGTGAGTGGCATCCTGGGTGGCTAACCCTTCATACCTGGGTTACCTGGTGGCTATAACCCTCCTACCCTGGGTTATCCTGGTGGTAACACTCCTACCCTGGGGTATCCTGGGTACTAACCATCCCTACCCTGGGTTTCCTGGGTGGTAACCCTCCCTACCCTGGTTTCCTGGTGGTTATACCCCCTTCTGGTTATCCTGGGTGTTTAACACCTCCCTTTCCTGGGTTATCCTGGGAGGCTAACCCTCTCTACCCTGGGTTATCCTGGGTGGCTAACCCTCCCTAACCTGGCTTATCCTGGGTGGCTAACCCTCCCTACCCTGGGTTATCCTGGGTGGCTAACCCTCCCTATCCTGGGTGGCTAACCCTCCCTACCCTGGGGTATCCTGGGTGGCTAACCATCCCTACCCTGGGTTATCCTGGGTGGCTAACCCTCCCAACCCTGGGTTATCCTGGGTGGTTAGCCCTCCCTTTCCTGGGTTATCCTGGGTGGTTAACCCTCCCTTTCCTGGGTTATCCTGGGTGGCTAACCCTCTCTACCCTGGGTTATCCTGGGTGGCCAACCCTCCCTACCCTGGGTTATCCTGGGTGGCTAACCCTCCCTACCCTGGTGTTATCCTTGGGTAGGGCTAACCCTCCCTACCCTGGGTTATCCTGGGTGGCTAATCCTCCCTACCCTGGGTTATCCTGGGTGGCTAACCCTCCCTACCCTGGGTTATCCTGGGTGGCTAACCCTCCCTACCCGGGTTTATCCTGGGTGGCTAACCCTCCTACCCTGGTTATCCTGGGTGGCTAACCCTCCCTACCCTGGGTTATCCTGGGAGGCTAACCCTCCCTACCCTGGGTTATCCTGGGTGGCTAACCCTCCCTACCCTGGGTTATCCTGGGTGGCTAACCCTCACTACCCTGGGGTATCATGGGTGGCTAACCATCCCTACCCTGGGTTATCCTGGGTGGCTAACCCTCCCTACCCTGGATTATCCTGGGTGGTTAACCCTCCCTTTCCTGGGTTATCCTGGGTGGTTAACCCTCCCTTTCCTGGATTATCCTGGGTGGCTAACCCTCTCTACCCTGGGTTATCCTGGGTGGCTAACCCTCCCTACCCTGGGTTATCCTGGGTGGCTAACCCTCCCTACCCTGGGTTATCCAGGGTGGTTAACCCTCCCTACCCTGGGTTATCCTGGGTGGCTAACCCTCCCTACCCTGGGTTATCCTGGGTGACTAACCCTCCCTACCCTGGGTAATCCTGGGGGGCTAACCCTCCCTACCCTGGGTTATCCTGGGTTATCCTGGGTGGCTAACCCTCCCTACCCTACGTTATCCTGGGTGGCTAACCCTCCCTACCCTGGGTTATCCTGGGTGGCTAACCCTCCCTACCCTGGGTTATCCTGGGTGGCTAACCCTCCCTACCATGGATTATCCTGGGTAGCTAACCCTCCCTACCCTGGGTTATCCTGGGTGGCTAACCCTCCCTACCCTGGGTTATCCTGGGAGGCTAACCCTCCCTACCCTGGGTTATCCTGGGTGGCTAACCCTCCCTACCCTGGGTTATCCTGGGTGGCTAACCCTCCCTACCCTGGGTTATCCTGGGTGGCTAACCCTCCCTACCCTGGGTTATCCTGGGTGGCTAACCCTCCCTACCCTGGGTTATCTTGGGTGGCTAACCCTCCCTACCCTGGGTTATCCTGGGTGTCTAACCCTCCCTACCCTGGGGTATTCTAGGTGGCTAACCCCCTTCCCTGGGTTATCCTGGGTGGCTAACCCTCCCGACCCTGGGTTATCCTGGGTGGCTAACCCTCTCTACCCTGGGTTATCCTGGGTGGTTAACCCTCCCTACCCTGGGTTATCCTGGGTGGCTAACCCTCCCTACCCTGGGTTATCTTGGGTGGCTAACCCTCCCTACCCTGGGTTATCCTGGGTGGCTAACCCTCCCTACCCTGGGGTATCCTAGGTGGCTAACCCCCTTCCCTGGGTTATCCTGGGTGGCTAACCCTCCCTACCCTGGGTAATCCTGGGGGGCTTACCCTCCCTACCCTGGGTTATCCTGGGTTATCCTGGGTGGCTAACCCTCCCTACCCTACGTTATCCTGGGTGGCTAACCCTCCCTACCCTGGGTTATCCTGGGTGGCTAACCCTCCCTACCCTGGATTATCCTGGGTGGCTAACCCTCCCTACCCTGGGTTATCCTGGGTGGCTAACCCTCCCTACCCTGGGTTATCCTGGGAGGCTAACCCTCCCTACCCTGGGTTATCATGGGTGGCTAACCCTCCCTACCCTGGGTTATCCTGGGTGGCTAACCCTCCCTACCCTGGGTTATCCTGGGTGGCTAACCCTCCCTACCCTGGGTTATCCTGGGTGGCTAACCCTCCCTACCCTGGGTTATCTTGGGTGGCTAACCCTCCCTACCCTGGGTTATCCTGGGTGGCTAACCCTCCCTACCCTGGGGTATTCTAGGTGGCTAACCCCCTTCCCTGGGTTATCCTGGGTGGCTAACCCTCCCGACCCTGGGTTATCCTGGGTGGCTAACCCTCTCTACCCTGGGTTATCCTGGGTGGTTAACCCTCCCTACCCTGGGTTATCCTGGGTGGCTAACCCTCCCTACCCTGGGTTATCTTGGGTGGCTAACCCTCCCTACCCTGGGTTATCCTGGGTGGCTAACCCTCCCTACCCTGGGGTATCCTAGGTGGCTAACCCCCTTCCCTGGGTTATCCTGGGTGCCTAACCCTCCCTACCCTGGGTTATCCTGGGTGGCTAACCCCCCTACCCTGGGTTATCCTGGGTGGCTAACCCTCCCTACTCTGGGTTATCCTGGGTGGCTAACCCTCCCTACCCTAGGTTATCCTGGGTGGCTAACCCTACCTATCCTGGGTTATCCTGGGTGGTTAACCCTCCCTACCCTAGGTTATCCTGGGTGACTAACCCTCCCTACCCTGGGTTATCCTGGGTGGCTAACCCTCCCTACCCTCGGTTATCCTGGGTGGCTAACCCTCCCTACCCTGGGTTATCCTGGGTGGCTAACCCTCTCTACCCTGGGTTATCCTGGGTGGCTAACCCTCCCTATCCTGGGTTATCCTGGATGGCTAACCCTCCCTACCCTGGGTTATCCTGGGTGGTTAACCCTCCCTACCCTAGGTTATCCTGGGTGACTAACCCTCCCTACCCTGGGTTATCCTGGGTGGCTAACCCTCCCTACCCACGGTTATCCTGGGTGGCTAACCCTCCCTACCCTGGGTTATCCTGGGTGGCTAACCCTCTCTACCCTGGGTTATCCTGGATGGCTAACCCTCCCTACCCTGGGTTATCCTGGGTGGCTAACCCTCCCTACATAACATCAATGTGACGCACAACATAACATCAATGTGGCGCACAACATAACATCAATGTGACGCACAACATAACATCAATGTGACGCACAACATAACATCAATGTGATGCACAATATGCATCAATATGACGCACAGTATAACATAACAT